GCAGCAGCAAAACCACAGCAAGAGCCACCACAGCAGCAAAAGCCACAGCAAAAGCCAGCACAGCAGCCACAGCAGCAAGGGCCTCCACAGCAGCAGCACAGCAGCAGTGCAGCGCGCAGCACCGCGAGTCGCTGTACATCAAAATGGCGGCCGGCGATGCAGGTCTCGCAGTGCACGGTACGAGCGGCGCACCCGCAGCGATCGCTAGCCTTCGCCGCGATGTCTGCTACAGTAATTATTTACCAACAGAAATGACAGTTTCTAACCATTTTAACACCATTAACAATAATAGAGTAATTATTTACCACCAGAAATGAGAGTTTCCAACCACTTTAGGATCATTAACAATAATGATTGAAAACTCAGAGTCGGTATAGAGATAACTCTTAAGTTATGGCTTACACAATTCAAGTCACACGCATATGAACATCACAAGAGATTTATTTAAATGTTTTAAATAATAAGAAACATATATTATGAACGCACACGTAGTCATAACAATAATCTCTCAACCCGTAAATATAGCAGAGTTGCTCGAATGGCTTGAATCAAGTTACGGTACGTGCGACCACAGCGATGTAACGCTCAGGAGCGATTACTCATGAACAATATTCAAAACGTCATCAAATTTACTATTAAAATATATACTAGTAAATTCATATTTAAATGTAAATATATTATAATTTACAATTGAATTTTGTAGCCCAGAAACATTCATGACGCTAGATGAAACTAAAAAAAAACTATATTTTCCCCAATTTTGACGACAGTTGATGAATAAGTAAAAAAAGTTCACAAAACTGTTTTTCATCTATGAGAGCCATTCATGGTTAGAAAAAGCCATATATTACCTTAGACGACATCAATTATACGTACGACATTGCTAGAATATTATCAATTATTGCATAATTCACTGTGTGAAGAGTGGCTATAATGACGATATAGAGTGGCTAGTGACGATATAGAGAGTGGCTAGAGACGTTGTAGAGAGTGGCTAGTGACGATATAGTGGCTAGAGACGATGTAGAGAGTGGCTAGTGACGATGTAGAGAGTGGCTAGTGAGGATGTAGAGAGTGGCTAGTGACGATATAGAGTGGCTAGTGATGATGTAGCGAGTGGCTAGTGACGATGTAGAGAATGGCTAGAGAAGATGTAGAGAGTGGCTAGTGACGATGTAGAGAGTGGCTAGTGACGATGTAGAGAGTGGCTAGTGACGATGTAGAGAGTGGCTAGTGATGATGTAGAGAATGGCTAGAGAAGATGTAGTGAGTGGCTAGTGACGATGTAGAGAGTGGCTAATGACGATGTAGAGAGTGGCTAGTGACGATGTAGAAAGTGGCTAATGACGATGTAGAGAGTGGCTAATGACTATGTAGAGAATGGCTAGTGACGATGAAGAGAGTGGCTAGTGACGATGTAGAGAGTGGCTAGCAACGATATAGAGTGGCTAAAGACGATGTGAAGAGTGGCTAATGACGATGTAGAGAGTGGCTAGTGACGATGTGGAGAGTGTCTAGTAACGATATATAGAGTGGCTAATGACGATGTAGAGAGTGACTAATGACGATGTAGAGTGACTAGAGACGATGTAGAGAGTGGCTAGAGACGATGTAGAGAGTGGCTAGTAACGATATAGATGTGGAAAATGTCGAGTAACGACCTAAAAATTATACATAGACGTAGTGATGAATAGATATCTAGTGGCCATGTGGAAAGCATGGAAGGGTGACGTGACAATTCTAGAGTGACGACGTAAAATACCGGAGAATAAGGATTATTTAATGACATGCACCGCCCTTACGGTGAAAATTATTCTGGATTTCAGAACAAAACCGAGCATGAGAGAAGTTGAAATATTGAGGTGCAATTAAACTGAGGTTCAATTGCACTGATGGAATTAAGGTGCAATGTTAGGCAGAACTTATGGCATGCTGGGCTACTAGGCTAGCATAAAAATTTCAATTCCATTTAAACCTGGTGAACGCTCGGACGTTTACAGAAACTCTCACGTTAAATATTCAGGTTACAACTTACCATCATTTGACGTGTCATCACTGAGTACAATAAACACTACACTCAAGTAAAAATACTACACTGCACAGTACACTACGTAAACATAAATCAAACTCACATCCTTAGGTAATAACTGAATGCTTCAGGATTCAGATATGGGAAAAACATTTCCATTTGCGGTAAGTGACGAACAGCTGAGTAGAAATGTTTATAGTTCTTCAAAAGCGACGTGCTTGTGCTTTATTCAGATGCTTGTATAGAATAGTTCTCTGACAATGCAATCAATGATACAAACTAACAAGTAGACCAAATGTAATTCAATGCCTGTATACAATAGTTCGATAACAAAGCAATCAATGATACAAACTAACAAGTACCTATACCAAATGTAATTCAGACTCAGAACTTCACTTTGAGTTATGCGATCTATACTCGTGGTCACGAGCGCGCAAGCTCTTACTAGAAGGTAGATATCAGGAAGACTAAATGCTGTTAGGACTAAATTCGAGCGTTACGCTTCCAGAGTGATAATTCGTAACACCCATGGACAGGCAAGAAACCATGACTAATAGAATAGGGATAAGGACAGACCACACCCTGGCCAGAGATACATTTTCAAAAAACGTTTGTGTGTACGAAATGTGCAGTACAGTACACGCGTGCGCCGGTCATTGTGAATCTTGGAGGGTTTATGCCGTAGATTTTATAACAATTCTTGCTCGTCAAAGTATGTGGCAAAATACATTTATTTCTTTAGAGATATTTAAAGGAGAATCTAAGTCATGCCATTACTCGAGGTGTAATGATATACAGAACTATAATATAAAGCAAAGTACATAGCAAGACTCGTATGGTTTACATACGATACGATACCGGTATACGGTATAAGATAGGACTCATATGGTTTACAGACGTAGGACAACAACCATAGCCACGAAGACCGACCCAGCATCTCCCTAGCTGCACTAATCCATTATATTCTGTACAAAGATCTGGAAATTGAAGAATTCTCCTTTGCAGGATGGCTGTATGATTTTTTTTCTCATGAGATGTTTGACATTCATTTATTTAACATTACTGACTTGCATTTTCTAGATAATTTGGCTAACAATATTGGTAAGAAACTTGAAAATATGCACGGTGAAGCAAATTATTGGTCGACTAACAATCTCTACCAAGCTACTGAAATTTTCTTTTAAGCCAAAATTATCACTGGTCCTCAAATTTATATGGATGAAGTGCAACAGTGAAAACGAGGCATTTTTTGCATATATTTTATGCTTAACTATAGTTAGAACTTTACCCTATCATACCCTTAATTTATTGTAGAACTAAAGCTCATCAAAGCTGGGTTTGAAAAATAAATGAACAAATTACCTGCATAATCATCAACCAAATACAATTTAGAGGAGACCAGAAGCTCATCCATTAATGAAAATTCTAGCATTCACTCAGAGCCCAAGATTCATTCATTATATATATTTTTACTTAATTTTTATTACCAGGGTGTATATTTATATACCATAGCATTTTTAATGCCTGCCCATACCCACAGTCACAGATGAGAAACTGAATGCAAATGAAACTTCATTAAGTTCAAAAATATACAAATTTTGCATGTCACATTTGTGGTTGTAAGATTATCAGTGTAATGAATGGTCTAGAGATCATATATTGCTAGTTATACGCCTTATAATTATAATCACTAGTATATATGCCTTAGAAAAATATTAGCACATTAATCCTCTTTGTAATAATTAATGAATTTATAATAATTTAATAATGATTGCAATGCTTTAACACTGCTGGCTTGTTAACTTGTTTTTATCCATTCAAATATGCATAAAATTTTTAATAAAAATCATGAGGAAAAGCTTATCATGATTTTCAAATTTGTAAAAAAACTGAATTATTTCCTTTCAAAAATGAAGAACTTGTAGACAATCTCTTTAGATATATTGATTTCACTGTGAATGTTTCATTTCATTTCTGATGATTTAATTAAAAGTTGTAAGAAGCAAGCTCTTGGTGATGTATAATAATTCAATAAGCAAGGTTTCATGTCAAAGATTGAGATGCAATTAGCATTCAAATCTTTATTAAAATGCATACAAATTGCTTTCACACAGGATTTTATTTCATTAACAATTTTATGCTGGACCAGGAAAAGCAAATTTTAATTTTGAATCTTGAAAATTATATTTTAAAAGGAGTTCTAAACTAGTAAAAAACAGCTTAGACATCACACAAACATGCCTAACTGACCACACACTTCTTCTACTTCAGTTAAAGTCCTCAATTAATACAAAACCATAATAATTGTCACCAAACCCCACACCCCCATCCACCACAGCGTTTCCAGCGCGAATTTCCTCCTGCTATTTTCATGTCTAGTTGACATTTTTTCCAGAGTTCTGAGAACTGTGAAATGCAAGAAGAAAAAGAATATACCTCGCAGATGCACGCATCAAAAAAAGTAAGTAAACGTTATTTTGTAATCAATTAAAGTTTGCTCTTTTGCCCAACGAAGTAAACAATTCCGGAAATTTAGATATGCCAACCCTTTTATGGATTGAAAATTTCGAGTCTAAAAAACAGAGGGCTGACATTTATATAATTTTTCTCTTTATTATTATTAAATGACCAAGTGATCGAATATTTTGACGGTGAACTCGCCCTCGCAGACGCAGAGGACTGAGAGGTAGCTAGTCGTATTCTAACAAATTATCGTTCATTTGAATTAGATTCACATTTTAAACAGAAACGGTAACTGGGATGAACTTAAAACATCGTTAGTTTTACAATAAAACATAACAATAATCACTGCATTGAGTCCAGCCTAAAATTGTCCGAAACGTTTTCGTATTAATCGCGCTTGGAAAGTTGAAGATTTGATGTAAATAATAAAATCACATAAATAATTTTCATCCAATAACAACCTGATATTTTTACTAATTTATCGAAAAGAATATATGATGATAATTACCTTGAGGGAGGCTGATGTGCGACTTGAGGCACGGAATGAGATCCCGGTGGTGGCTGACGAGTTCCCGCGTATAGGACGGAGGCATGAGGCCCTGTCAGTCCTACTAATTTTACTTGATCCATGGCAAAGCCAGCTATGTAGTTGGTGGAAAACAGTTATGCAGCACTTTCTTGTGCCACATTTGGGCGTTTTCCAAGCCCTTCAATGTGTCAACAGTAAAACACTTCACCACAAACAAAATCAGACCTCGCCGTTCGTCAGCACTCGGTAACACTTCACTGAAATCAAATGGAAATCATAACCATGCACTTTGAAACTTCACCACACCAATACATATATGTATATATAATCACCCTATCTCATTAATTTGACGGTAAACAACTATTTGTAAGAAGAAACCCTATTTTACAAGAATTTAGCCTTGCACCAGGGCTCGCGCGACTGCTATCAGTAGAACTGCTATAAGTATAGTGGCAGGGTGAGTCCACGGACGGGGGAAGGAGCTTCTCAATGCGCTTGTGCCAAGTGTACGCAGCGTATCTTGAATAAGCCATTAACTTACAACACACAGGTAATTTAACACAGTTTAAAACAATATTACCGTTTAAACTAAACCAACAATTAAGCACGATATATTTTATCGACTGGTTTATGAGTTTTGCACATGTTTTTTTTCGCGATGAGCAACGCCGCATACTCCGTTGACTGGCACTAAGCAATAATTCAAAAAGTATGACCGAGGCACCTGCGTGTTCATTTAGTGAATCGGACCCTAGCCTGATTAGATAAAGATTGCAACGGATCATAGGCACCAGAATTAAATTATAATAATTATTAAACTTCATTTTTCACTAGCGGTAAAATTATACTCGAAATTTCATTAAAAAATTTCGTTAGTGGTCGCACGTTCACACCGAAAGTGACAGCTAAGAAGAAACCTGTTATAACATGAATAAAAATATACGAATATCTGTCAAATTACGATTTTTGTGTCAAATCGTCTTCGTGCGTAATTTTGTGTCGTCACTGACGGTCCCGTCACTCGTGAGCAACAAGTCGGCCTGAATTATTTTCCACAATAAATATGCCAGAGAATGCGGCATAATGACCCATGAAGCGGGATTCAAGCAGTTCATAAATTCCGTATTGATTTGCAGGCAAGGCTTTCGGTGTAAATACCGTTGCTGTTATGAGCGAAGTGAGCTGATGCGTTCCGTAACAAAGTTTAATGCTTGGGTCCAACTTGATGGATTAATCGATCAGCAAAACATGTGTCTAACATGTCACGATATAATCACCATTTGAAGGCTTGTCTTAGATCACGCAAAATACTAAATCTTTACTCGTGTCTTCAATGCAGTAGGACATTGTATAAATTTAACAGATTAATGGGAATTCCTCATTCTGTTTAGCTAACTTTTTTACATTAATATTGTTGAATCCACGATATTTTATATAAATATTGCATATCAAGATCACTTGAGCTACACGAAGCGATGTCGTGTACAAAAAAAAACGTTTCTGATAAGCTTCGTTTTGACCGCCCGCAGCTATTTGTTTCTTTCCCAAACGCAATTTTTTCAGCTGTTGTTTTATCGCACGTGCGTCAATTATTATTAGGTCAGAATTGTGAAGAATGTTGCTTGAATTTTTTTCATATGAGAAAAGTCGTAAGTTCATTTGTATAAATGGGTGGAAATTCGTCGGTAACAGAGAAGTCGTGCTGAAGCAGCATAAATTAGACGAGTTGTAGCAATACACTGGAGCTTCGTGTCTGATTACAGAGTCTTCGTAAAGCAATTGGAATGGAATTCTAGTGTAAATTTTGAAAGAATTAACGTTGAATATCGAATGAATAATGTGGATTTGAATATAGGATGTACAAATTATAAATCTATACCTCATTCACTCACAAAAGAGAAGCGTTGGCAGTTTTTATTGTCTTATTTTTGCGTTGGTGCTTAGCATGCCACGCTTCTTGATGCGTGGCATGACGCACCACGCACCTATCATGCGTGGCATGATGCATCACGCACTTATCATGCGTGGCATGATGCATCACGCACTTATCATGCGTGGCATGATGCATCACGCACCTATCATGCGTGGCATGATGCACCACGCACCTATCATGCGTGGCATCACGCACCACGCACCTATCATGCGTGGCATGACGCACCACGCACCTATTATAACCTAACCCAATATCGCAGTTCATCATGCTGCGTTCCTCATGGGTACTTATGTTATGATCCATATAATGGCGGTGCGAAAACTGGGTTATCAGAAAATAACTAACTGTTATTTCCTATTATAGAATAAATAAAATAATTAACTTTGTAGAATTTCCAATAATAACGTAGTATCTGCCCCATCACCCAATAGTTTGATGAAAGCTGATAACATTCAAAGTTGATACAAATGAGAAAAAAATATACGGCGAACGTAACTTGCGACCAACTTTTAAACTTTTACTAATCCCGCCCATGCAGGGACTAGGCGTGGTTTGAACACACCCACTGGCTAAAATGAATTTCACTTTATAGGTGAATGTGTAAACGTTTGTATTGCCTCAGATTGGTTTACCTAAGCTACGACTCATATATGTGATACCATTCGGAACTTTCTCTAGATGATACATGTTTCTCATCGATTAGATGACACCGCACCAGCCTTATCAGCTGCACAAACATGTGGAATGTTTCATAATTCTCGACTTTGTCATCATGACAATGTCGGGTTCCTTTGATAATAAATAATCTAGTCATCACCGCAGACGATGTTGTTTCTAAAGATACCCTCACGTTTGGACAAGGTCGAAGGGACTAAGTTTCAACGTGGCCTGGGACTGCTACGTCCGAAACACATACTATTAATTGATACTAAGGAAACCTGCCGAGTCATCAAACGATAATTGCACTTTACTTCTGTGGCCTGAGGAGCCATGTTCTTGTGACCCGATTCAGGACCTCCGCTTGAAACAAATCCTATTCTTGACACGTCATCCTAGCGTCGTCATTGGGCATGACGATGACGAACTGTGAGGAGAACGTCCAGGTACGAGCCTTGTGGGACGAATGGAGAATAAATAGAAGCCGGTACCAACGCTGGGATACAGGGAGATATTTACATCTCGGAAATGTGAAGGATTATGAAAAAAATAAAAGTTACCGGGTATGAACAATTGGACGAATAAATAAAACAGCAGGTTCTTAGGACTGTGAGAATGAAAACGAAGTCCCAAGAAAATGAAAACTAAAAATGGTAGGGAAAGAAATTTTAGATCGACGGGGGCCTGATAGATTTCGGGATACTTAAATCTTAAAATCAGGATGAGTGAAGGAAAAAATGTAATGTAATCATAACAAGTATCGGGATTGGAAGTAATGTATCGGGATTGGAATCTGCAGTAATGGAACAAGTAATGTATCGGGATTGGAATCTGCAACTATATTATCGACCCGCCGGCTAGCGGATTATGGAAATGGGTGTACAGTTGCAACGCTTGCGGAAATTCAATTTCATTGCAGATTTTTCAAAGTCACATCATAAGCGAACAGTCTTTTAATATTAATGTTAGTTCTTTAATGATTCTCGGCCCATAGCATGAGTGCGGCTTCAGCATTTAAAGGTTGATGAGCGGGCCCGAATTAGGCCAGCGCTCTAAGTACAATTCCTTCAAATATTTTCATTAAAAGTTAAAACGCAGTACGACTGTACATCTTTTACGTTGTATGGAGGCTCTGAAAAATCACATATTACATTTAACAATTTGCCAACGAACGTTGATGTTTAGACGACAACAGAGAATTTTAAGGAGCATGCTCAGAGTTTTGTGCCTCAAGAGGAGTTCTTCCGTGTTTTTATGACACTATGGCACGCGAAAAGCACTGGATAAAAGGCCCAGTTCGTCCACACTAGGAATGAAGCGCGAATTCATTAATAATATAGTCTTACGCAAGATTTTATAGCATTGTATTTTGGGATATATTGGAAATTCCCTCGTGTGAGAGGCATGTTAACCGAGAGATGGGATAGCTTGATATTCTGGGAACGACATCTGCTGCGCGTCAACCCTTATTTGGAGGACACCAGCGGGAACGTTACAAGATCTGAGTAGCTGAGGCGACATGTCGAGCGGTTTTACCTGAAGGCATTTACCATGCGACCTCTGCACCAACTGAACATTTCTTCGCGAGTGTCCAAACGCACACGCAGTCGTGTTCTTTTTAGGGCACCCGGATTTTTTATACCATATGGACGAAGATACTTTCAACAAAATGAATTACACTGAATAGTACTTGCACAGCTGCAACTCAGACCGTGCACCACATCTTTAGCACCGAAATTGTAGGTAAAAATGTACAAGTAATTGTTCCTTAGCGATCTCATCCCCGCAGTCTCAGCTAAGATATAGAAACTACTGCATTTTTCAAAATTCGGTTCAATAATAGCTAGTATACCGACTTTTCTCTTAGCTTTTCAAGTTCACTTCAAAACCTCAATAGGATTATAGTTTTTACCGACCGGTTCGCGACAAAGCGGAGAGTTTGGAGAATCTCAGATGCCTGAGTTCAGGATTTTACCACACTCGACATTGCTCTCATTTTTGAATTATGAAAACTCGGCTAGCGAAATCTTTACTTCATGTCTCATTTCTTTTCTGTATTGTCACGTTGTCTCCTGTCCCTTACATCGATTCGGCCATTCCCGATGACTACATTTTGATTTTTACTCTCGGCATGACCCCACCGTCTCATATTTTCTTTTCCTTCCTAAGGATCCGCAAGCCCTGTTGCCCCTTCTTTTATTATCCTTCCTATAAGGACACGCAAAGCCCCTTTCCTTTATTATCCTTCCTTCTCTTATCCTAAATCCTGACGACCACGTAGCGCACTTTCTCTCCGGTCGGTCGGAGCGGTCAACGGTGCACGCCAAGTTTGGCCCGACGCTACACCGCCCTGGGGCCAGCGGGCCTGGTCCCTTCTAGGAACACTTGGCGCATATACTCAAGCCGGGCCCTCTTTCGCCTGCCCTGGTCTGGCTATACCGTTAGTGTTTTAAAGAAGCTGCAATAACAATTCGAGTTTACCGCTGTCTGCAGATCGATTGCCTGAAGTATTCGCTCCCGAACTACTTTTCTCCAATTACTTTCGCATAGACCGCTTTTTCGTTGCGCTATGTTATCTCGATGCGAATTTCGTAGCACTCTTTTACCGTCTTACGTATTTACTTTCATTATAATTGAGGGCGCCAAAATTTCAACCGATAAATATGATAATCACACTTAAGCCGATTTCCTAATATTGAATTTCCTCATAAATTAAAAGGTTTCAAAATTTTTCAGTACGGTATTGAAGACTTGGATAGTATCATCCAACAATCAAAATAGCCACATAAGTTTTGATCCAACTATAAAACTTGAAGCTATATCTTTATGACAATTCAAT